CGGCGGGCGCCCGCCATCGCCTCGGCGTCAACGCGAAAGTAACTTCCCGGGGTGTCGGGAGACACGCGGCGCGCGGGGCTGGGGAAGGGGCGGACACCGCGGGAGCGGCGGCGCGGCACGGGCGCCCCGTCCCGGATCCCGCACACGCGGCCCGGTCGGTCCGGCGTCCAGTGGGGGCTGGTTCCGCACGAGGCCAGCGACCTGGGGGAGGAGGCTGCTTCCCGCGAACATCGTGGGACATGCAGAGCCGAGAGGCCTCGTCGCAAGCCCCCTGTCGCCCAAGGCTGACCATCTCTGCGTGGAAACCTCCGCTGAACGGGAACTTCCTCTGGGCGGGGAGGTCAGGGTGAGGGTGAGGACCGCCCCTGTATTAGCGGTTGAGCAGTTGAGCGGCTGTTGCTGCGGCAGCCAGCGCGAGGGCCAGGCGTTCCCCCAGCGAAGACCAAACTGACCCGGACCCATAGCAGCCCTTCAACGCCCCGTGACCGCCCTCCAGAAAATAAACAATTCAGTCAGAGACTCAGGAGGAGCACTCGGCAGGGTGGCTGGCTCAGTGAGGGCTCAGTAACTGGTCGCTTTGTTTACACACATACGAATGTGTCTGTGTGTGCGCGCGCGTACGCACACGCCACACGTGTGTGCATCTTGCGGTAAATAGGACACCTGGTTGCCTCTTTCAGGCCCTCCACTTCAAGGTTGCTTTTCAACCTTGATTGAGCCCCTAGGTGGCTGTGGCCCCATCCCCTCTCTTACAGGCCCCATACCTCTGTTGATCTAACGGAAACTTTCACTAGACTGTTCTGGCACCCACACCACATTTTTAGTCAACCTGGCTTTTCAGTCCACTTAAATCCTCAAGACCGTTTCACACAACTGGAGGATCAGCCGTCTGCCAGGTTCTCACAGCCTTCACCTGCACAGATGATTGTTTTCCCCTTTCCTTTTCTGATCCTTATTTTCATTTATGTTGTTGTTATGTGCCATCCAGTCAGATCCGACTCATAGCGACCCCTCCTTGGGTTTCTGAGGCAGTATCACTATGGAAGCAGATTGCCCAACCTTCCTTCTGAGGAGTGGTGGGTTTGAACCACCAGCCTTCTGGTTAGCAGTCAAGTGCCTTTGGCACTAGGCTACCAGAACTCCTATTTTCATTTATAGATTCTTTAAAATCAAAGTGCGACATATTGCAATTTCTTTGTATTAAATCTTATTTTGTTCATTTGTACTAATGTTTTTAGTAAGCCTGTCAGATCTTTTAGAATCTGAATCCTATGACACAACATATTATCTCCACCTGCACCCTGAGCCGTTTTAACATTGGTAATGAAGCTAGGGGTCCAAGTCACTGATGCTTGCAGAAGGAGAGGGTAGTGCAGCCCCAAGTCACCCCACCGAGATCTTCCTGTGACTGAGTACTGATGAAGAAGCAGCAGTCCGTGGGCTTGGCAGTCACATCAGCCACACTTACACCTGCTGTCTCCACCACCAGGATGAAGCCATGGTTTCTCCATTTTGTTTGGGAGAATGTCACAGGAGAGTAAAACAATGCTTTCTGAAACTGATCGTTGGAATTATAATTTATTATGCACCCCAACTGTTAAGTCTAGCAGTTTTACCAGTGGTAAAAGGATAACCAAGGGTGGTTTGATTAATCTGTTTCCTGAAGTGGTGACAAGCAGTCACCACTTTGTTGTTGGAGTCAGTGCAGCAAATGTGTGGCCTGGAGGGTTCCAGCCCTCAGCCACCTTCTGTCAGTTGTTGGCTATCACTTTTCCTAAATGACAGTAAGTTCACGTCTCGATTGAACAATTTTGTGTAGCTTCTGTTTTGGAAGAAGAGGAAACAACATGCAAAATGGTGGTTTTTTTTTTTTTTTTTTTTTTTGATGGATTACAAATGTGACATTGAGGTTGTCAAGGATTTTGTTTTACTTGGATCCACAATCAGCATCCGTGGCAGCTGTTGTTGTTCTTGTTATGTCCCATCGAGTCGGACCGACTCATAGTGACCCCTCCTTGGGTTACTGAGGCAGTATCACTACAGAAGTAGATTGCCCAACCTTCCTTCCGAGGAGTGGCTGGTGGGTTTGAACCACCAGCCTTCTGGTTACCAGTCAAGTGTCATAGGCACTACGCTACCAGAGCTACTATCTGTGGCAGCAGCAGTCAAATTTTAGTATGTCTATTACATATTTCATTGGGCAAATCTGCTGTAAGAGACCTCTTTAAAGTATTCAAAAGCAAAGATGTCACCTTATGGACTAACTTGCACCTGATCCAAGGCATGGTACTTTCTTTCAGTCACCTTATATGCATGTGAAACCTGGACAGTAAATTAGGAAGACTACAGAACTGATGCCTTTGAATTGTGGTGTTGGCAAAAAATATTGAATAAACCATGGACCACCAGAAGTACAAGATCGTTTCACACAACTGGAGGATCAGCCGTCTGCCTTGGAAGATGTGCAGCCAGAGTGCTCCTTTGTCTCACGTAGTTTGGACATGTTATCAAGAGGGACCATTCTCCAGAGAAGGACATTATGCTTAGTAAAGTAAAGGGTCAGCAAAAAAGAAGAAGGCCTTCAAGGAGATAGATGAACACAGTGGAAGGCCTTCAAGGAGATGGATGGATGCAGCGAAAGGCCTTCAAGGAGATAGATGGATGCAGCGGAAGGCCTTCAAGGAAACAGGTGGACAGAGATGGATGCAGTGGAAGGGCTTCAAGAAAACAGATGGATGCAGCAGAAGGCCTTCAAGGAGAGAGATGGACACAGCAGAAGGCCTTCAAGGAGAAGACTGACACAGTGAAAGGCCTTCAGGGAGAGAGATGGACACAGCAGAAGGCCTTCAAGGAGATGGATGGACACAGCGGAAGGGCTTCAAGGAGATGAGTGGATGCAGCGGAAGGCCTTCAAGGAGATAGATGGATGCAGCGGAAGGCCTTCAAGGAAACAGGTGGACAGATAGATGGTGGACACAGTGAAAGGGCTTCAAGAAAACGGATGCAGCAGAAGGCCTTCAAGGAGACAGATGGACACAGCGGAAGGCCTTCAAGGAGACAGATGGACACAGCGGAAGGCCTTCAAGGAGACAGATGGACGCAGTGGAAGGCCTTCAAGGAGACAGATGGACGCAGTGGAAGGCCTTCAGGGAGACAGATGGACGCAGTG